TTCGACTAGTGCTAATTTTTGCTGGGTTAGAATACCTTAGTTCATTTGTAAATAAAGTATACTGCGCTTTTTTCAGAGTTTCAAGACAAGAATGTGTACACTGGCATGTTTTTATTTGTTGCATTAAATCCCCTAAATTAAGTGTTTGAGCTTACTTGCTGTAGCTTACTTACTGTAGTTTTCTTAGTAATGTGCAGCACAAAAATTATTATAACACTACTTGACATGCCAAATACCATATGCACACTACGCTTGAGCTATAATCTTTTTAGGTGATGAACCAAAAGCCAGGGCTACGGCAAACTGATTACCAGTTTATGGGACATTGGTCAAAGCAACAGAAAAAGTACCAGCAGTATCGTAGGAGAACCACATTGTGGCTTGCAGCGTATTAAAATATCAAAGTTTTCCATATTTACCCCTCCTCTTTTTCTCACTTCTCTTTTCATTGCCCTTCATCTTTTCCAGACAGTCTAAATGCTCTCTATCACACGGCGAAATTGGGCACTGCACTGATGATTACCATTCCATTTCACGCCAGTAACTGCTGCCTGTGTTTGTAGCTTAGGGATGAAACAAGACCAGGCCACCAAACCATAACAATAACAAATGCAAGCTTGCTTATGAGCGAGATATAAATGTCACTTCTGGATATTTTCTTTAAATTATCGAAATTCGGCTATTAGTTCCTGTCCTCTGTGGTCTTGCTATGCTAAATCAACTGGATTTGTTAACATGCAGATAATTTGCAGCCTTCTTTCCTCCTCCAGTCTCCTGGCCGCGAATATTTACAGTTTATATCCCTATAATTTCATACCACTCAAACATGACCTGTGCGTAACGGATCTTTGACTTTGACATTTTGAAGCAAAAGGAAAAATTTCGAGGGCTGGAAATTTTGTTTTGAGGACTGAGGAATTGGTTTTTTCGTTGCCAACTCAAAATTTTGCCGAAATACGAAATTTAGTCTAACGAGGTGCAGTCAGTGAAGAGCAAAATATTCAGTTGGCTCGTCAAGCCATTTTTTGATTAAACGGTGCTTCGCAAGAGCTTATTGAAGCACTTTTCTAGCAAATTTGCGGATTATCTTTGTGGCAATCAAGCACTGCATGCTGTATGTTAAAATTAGCTCGGAGCAAAATGGGACAATGGTGGGGAAAGGCTGCTGCGAAACTTTCGAAAGAGCAGCGCTAGTGCTTGAATTTTTAAAAAATTCAGAGGGCAGGAGTGCAAAGTAATTAGGCCACCGGCTGCTAGTAGTACTTTAAAAGCAGAATTGCCCTTTTACAATGGACTTTGTTCTCAAAAGCTTAGGGAGCGCAAGAAGAGGAACAAAGAGTTTTCGCACTTGATTTCTTTCTTTAGCAAAATGGTACTTTACAGCAGTAAAATGGCGCTTATCCTTTGTTAAAGTAGTGTGATGAACTTTCCGATCCGTTCCCTGTCGATAGCATCGCTTCCCTTGCCCTCCTTTGCGTCATTCTCAGCAGTAATTGAGCATTTATCAGGCAAATTTTTGTTTCCTGGTCAAAACTGCTTCTACTGGATCCAAATTCTCATCTTGCCCTTCTGAAGCTGAAAGCATGAGCGCCAAAATGAAGTGAAAAGTCTCGTAGACGAAGCCTCTTTTTAAAAATGGTCATGGACTGGGAGGAAATCGAGCCATTTGTCTTCGTATCCGAATCCGATGTACTTGACCGCTCTTGTAAGCCAGCACTTATACTGTGCATGTATAGCACCTTCATGCTGTAAGGGACATTTCTTAATAAGTATCGACTTTTCGCTCGACATCCATGACAGCAGATACAAGAATTGCAAGTCATATTTGATAGAATACATGCTGCTGCAGCCTGCGTTTCATCCCTTAGCCTGACAGATATGCGGAGATCCAATGTACGACTACGCGAAAGTCCTAGCGTGAAAATTACCGGAATTCAGAAAAGTAGGAGGTTGAAATTTTGGAAGAATGTTTGCCGTCCAAGATTTCAAATTAGCTTTCACGTAGCCCATGTTTCACATACCGAGACGGGGCTCTGCATGCACATAGGAAGGGGATTTCTTGGTATGGTATTGGTATCGACTATGTATTACATGTAAATTTGACTAATTTGTGGGACAAAGGTGAAAGTAGAGTAAGAGAAGAGAATGATTCAGACGAAAGAAGTGGAAGAAGAGAAGGAAAGGAGATGACACTGAGGAATACCTTTAGTCTGGTATTTTGAAAAGAAAAAATAATGAGCACATGATTAAATGCATTATGCAGCTGTCCGCTTCGAACTTCTTGGCAGGTGGTTTGATTTAACTTTTCCAACAGAAGCAGTTTTTAACTTTTTTAAATTTTTATAACAAAATCATTGATAGGCTTTTTTGAGTCTTCACAACTGACTCAAATTAAGCAAACTCTGATTTCTTCGATGTGTCGAAGTGCATTGAAGTAAATACTCAGATACATATATGTTTCATTTTGAGGACGACACCGTACATGGATTCGCAAGGCGCAGGACCTACACTATCGCTCTCGATGCCAATTTTAAATACAATGGAAAATGGCAGTGGGCTATTGGGAGTAGCAGCAGTTGACATACTTTTCAAGCAGATCGCTAGGATACTTCCCGAAACTGAACAGATGTACGCATTCATCGTCGATAACAACGGAATTGCCATTTACCACCCGCATCTCAAAGTACCGGTATGTCAGTTCTTTTCAATAGCATTTTACTTTGATATTGTTTCATCGTCGCGTTTCCTTCGTCGTAGCAAACTTTCAGTTCTGCTATACTCTGAACCCAGGACAAATTTTTTATAGTTATCCAAATAGACCTCTACAAGTTCTTTCCTTTTCACAATAAAATAGGTCAAAAGGAGGAAAAAAAATTTAACTTAGGCGAGTTGCCCAGAAAAAGCTACACATTGGCACATTTAGACTTCATACTTACTACCGAACTTCTAAAAAACATTTTTTTTTGCTGATTACGAACTGGGATCGGAAGAGATTCCTGCAGTAGCTAGGAAAAAAGTAAGCTTTAGGCGCAAAGCGCTGAATAGCCTTATATATCCATTCAAGCTCATTTAAAGCAATTTGATGGATATACTCAATGTCATATCTCACTTATGCTTCTTGAACAACCGAATGGGCCAAGATGCTTTAGAAGCCTGATACAGGACACACATAAATACTGAAATATCTAGTCTTCGACACTGCATCGCTTGATGGGTGCAGTAGCGAAACATAGCTTAGAAAGAATAAATCGGGAGCAAAATCTCGATCCAACCGACTGATCTTAATCCCAGAGAGCCGTTCCTTTACGGCATTACAAAAGTG